TCAGTATGCCGAGCCGGTACGTTCGCACCACGTAAATAATGCTCCTCTTCGTTGGCCGGGAAGGGTCCCAATGACATGCAATGGGATTTAAAGTTGCTTTTCTTGTTCGTTCGTGGTGCGCTCCTGCAGACGTGTGCGTCACGTTCAAACGGAATCATCCAGCTTGAGAACATGTCAAATGCGATCAGGACTGAACGCACATGAAACAAGCCTCTACGCCACGCTGCTACATGAATTGAATGCTCGTGCCAGGTGTACATGACTTAACCTGAGGGCTATCCTTCCAAGTAGAACCTACGGTCCTACCAAAAAAACACTAGAATTGAATACTGTATTGTGCCGCAGTACCACATTTGCACAGCCTTTCAGGAAACAACGGGCCGTCGCCCATTACAGCAATGTGAGTTGCTGGTCTCCATTGCGTACGCCACGTCTGAAACGGGCGTGATAGCATGAAGCGTAACAGTCATGAGATCATGCCTGAGCTGTAGCAGCCGATCCGCGATGGAAGACATCGACAGGTGGAGGCACAACGTGGCGACAGGGGGCAGGCAGCGGCTCGCTCAGTGCAGAAAACTAGGCGAGCGCTGGGCGGCTGGGCCCTTATGGCCTTAGGCACTGGCTCCCCAAGCTACAGGAAGATTCGATCAACCCTGGTAGAGAGCTTTCTCCGTTATCATGGCTCCGTCTGTGGCGACGGTGTGACGGGTTACTAGAGCCGACTCCCATCTCCGAGTCTCGCGTGAGGTCGATGCGGCAGGTAGCTCTCAGGGCCAAAGCGAAGAAGCGAAGGAGCCGGAGGCAGGAAAGGAGCCGGAGGGAGAGGAAGAGGCTGCTGAGGCGGGACCCCCAACAAAAAAAGCTTGTCTTTCCAAGAGAGAAGTCGGCTGCTGAGGATCCGGAGGCTCCGGAGGCGAAGCCGAAGGAGGCGGGGCCTCGGGGGCCCCGGGGGCCCCGGAGAGTGTTCGCGAGTCGATTTTGTTTTGCTTTGCGAGGAGGCCCAGGGCCAGGACTGAGTCTGCCAGATCTGCCAGACCCGAAGTCTCACGTAGGCAACGATGCCAGGGGCGGAACAGAGAGAGTTCGCAGGCTAGGCCCGTTCGGCATGGCATACCACATACCGCATCATACCACCATGCCAGTCTGGTGTCCGCAGTCTAAGTTCAGTGCAAAGTCACTGCTCGGCATCAGATCGTTTGTTTGAGGGTATTGGCGGAAGTCCTGGCAGCAAAACCTTGGTTGTTGCTTCTGAGGGAGGCATGACGCATGGCATGGACAGAGCAGCGAAACGAGGTCGTGTACAGCAGCCTCCCAAAGTGCACCCTCGCTTTTTCCCAGCTCCTACTCTCTGCTTGACGGGCTGGCTGCCGGTTGACTTTTTGGGAGCAAGCTGGCGGGCCTGCCACACTGCATCACAACTGCAGAAAGTTGCACAGTGTCGTCACCAAGAACGTTGGAAAGTCATGGAGACATTTTCGAGTAAACTGTTGCAGTAATCCTGGGAGTAGCTTTGGAAACTCTAGGAATTTTGGTGAACGTCTGGTCTCTTGTGTGTTTCGGTCTGGCACTAACACACGACCAAGAGAGCTTTTGTCTATGTAAGACAACAGGCGAGCTCCCCTCCTCCAAACCCAGCAGTGAGCATCACGATCTCGGCGCCCGTGTCGATCTGATGCTAGCCTCCGAGCTTCCTCACTGTGGTTGGATTGGAGCAGGGACATTGAGAAGAAAGTGCTTCACTGAAGGCTCAGCAATTCTTGATGGTATCGCGGTGTTGACATGTATTGGCCAGCGAGATGAAAAACAGGCAGGTTCTGGTGTCTGTACTTTGGTCAGACGCACCAAAAAACACTCCTGGATGCGCAGCTGCCACGCACAACAACGAGAGGCAGAACTAGTGGACTGTTTGCAAGAGGCATCAAGAGTCTCAGCATCCAGCTCGAAGCTGTGCCTAGTGCCTCCGCATAGTTTTTTCTCAACACGGCGTGGCAATGCTATCTGTTCTACGTTAGGGTCGTACAGGGGATTTGGTTGCTGTATGTTGCTGTTCCCGCGAGGCACGCCCGTCACCGCACCCGCCGTTTCCACGGCTCCCGCATGCTCTTTTCGACAGCGTTGGGGAGAGATGGGGAGAGTATTGTTGTGGTCTCGAGTTGCTTTTACGCTGGCATGATTTGCCTTAAAGCCTGCGCCGCTGACAAACTAACTCGCGGTTACGCGATCAGTCTGGCTATGTCTGGCTCGAACGTGAGGCATTTGCAGCAAGGTGTCATTCTTTTCGTAGTGCTTCGGGTTTGCTTAAGAGTGGCTCCTTAGTCACTAGTTTAACGTTTCTTCACGGAGTCCACGTTGGTGAGATTGGATCGCCCTATCCAGCACCATGTCCGCATGACCAATGCCTTGTTGCGTGGGTGAATCCACATCTCTCGCCACGGGCACCGGGCTAGACACTTCTTCAGGTCGCCTCACCAAAGGTGATGGGGACTGAGTTGCTTTTCCCTTCCGCGATATACTTCTCGACGATGATCTTGACTTCGGTTGATCTGGACTGGTCACTTCTCGATCCTTGTTCTTCGTGGTAGACTGCAAACATTGCATCACTGTCCTTGAAGGACGTCTTTCGCCTGGCTTAGGTCTGGTGTTCGACGAAGCAGATCGCGTTTGCGATGATGTTCTCGGAGCAGACCTTGCCCTTGCTCTCTGACGTGAGTTTGTGGATGATGCCGATGGTTTCTTTCTTTTCTCCTCCTCGGTTGTCACTGAGTCCACGGAAATGGTGTTGCCACAGGCATCAAACATAGCTCATTGTGTTCTTTCTCTCGGTCTCTCTCTGTCTCTCTCTCTCTCTGTGTCTCTCTCGGTCTGTTCTTTCATGCTTCCCTGTGGCTTCCTTAACTGTACCTTTTCTTTTTGAGAACCGTCTCAGTCCAATAGGAGCAACAGCTTGAGAACCCTGTTCACGAACTCATGCTGGGAATCGAGCCATGCGTTTGTTTTGTTCTTGTTCATTCTGCTATTTGTTTTTCAATTGTGGTGCTTGGGCTGTTCACAGACTCATGCTGTGAAGTGAGCTGTGCATGGTTTTCCGGCATCTTGATCACAAGCTCATGCTGTGAAAGAACAGTGAAAGGAGCTATGCCTCTTTCTTCCGTGTTTTTTTCAATTTTGGGGCTCGGGCTGTTCGCAACATATGCGAGGATGGGAGCCATACGCGCTTTTTTTCAGTTTGTTTTGCGGTGAACTTGTTGACAAACTGATGCTGGGAAACGAGCTGTGAGCGTGTTTTTTCATTTTTGGTGCAGTGGCTGTTCATAAACTCATGCTGGGAAGGGATCTATGCACGCCTTTTCCGCATAGCTATGCACGTTTTTTCTATTGTTTTGCACTTTCGGGCTTGAGTTGCTCACAAAGTCATGCTGTGAAGGGAGCCATGCACGCCTATTCAGCGTTTTACTCAATTTTGGTGCTTGGGCTGTTCACAAACTCATTCTGGGAAGGGAGCTATGCAGGTTTTGTTTGTTGTTGAATTCAAATTTTGGTGCTTGGGCTGTTCACAAATGCATGATGGGAAGGGAGCTATGCGCGTTTTTTCCATTATTTTTTTTTGTTTTGGTGCTTGGGCTATGCACAAACTCATGGGAAAGAAGCTATGCACGTGTTTGTGCAATTTTGTTTCAAGTTGGTGTTTTGGCTTTGCACAAACTAATTCAGGGAAGGGAGCTATGCGCGTTTTTGTTGTTTCTTGTTTTTTCAGTTTCGGTGCTTGGGCTGCTCACAATCTCATGCAACTCATGCTGGGAAGGGAGCTATGCGAGTTTTTCACGTTTGTTTTCAATTGTGGTGGGTGGGCTGTTCACAATCTCATTGCGGGAAGGGTGCTGCGCGATGTTTTTCCGCAGATGCAAGGACTGTTCATAAACTTAGGCTCGGAAGGGAGCTATGCGTTGTTTCTTCTGATTTCATTCAAATTTTGATGGTTGGGCTGTTCACAGATTCATGCTGGGAAGGTAGCTAAGCTATGCGAGTTTTTCTGCGTTGTTTTTCAATTTTAGAAGCTTGGGCTGTTCATAAACTCAGGCTGGGAAGGGAGCTCTGCACTTTTTTATCTACGTTGTTTTGAAATGTTTTCGTGCAAAAGCTGTTCGGTTTCTGTGCGTTTCACAAACTCATGCTGGGAAGGCAGCTATGCCTCTCTTCATTTTCGGCGATTTTTTCAAGTCTGGTGCTTGGGCTGTTCTAAGAATCATGGTGGGAAGGGAGCCATGCTTTTTTTTGGTGCTTGGGCTGTTGAAAAACTCGTGTTGGGAAGGGAGCCATGCGCGTGTTTTGATTTTTGGTGCACTGGCTGTTCATAAACTCATGCTAGGAGGGAGCTATACATGTGTTTGCGCGTTTCTTTTGTACCTATTTATGGGGCTTGGGGCGTTCACAAACTCATGCTGTGAAGGGAGCTATGCGCGTTGCTTTCCGTTTTGATATCAATTTTGGTGCTTAGGCCTGGGCTTTTCACAACTTCATGCTGAGAATGGAGCCATGCCCGTGTTGTCAGCGTTCTGTTTGATTGTTGGTGCTTCGGCTGTTGACAACATCATGCTGGGAAGTTTTAGTGCTCGGGCTGTTCACAAACGGTGCTCGGGCTGTTCACAAACTCCTTCTGGGAAGGGAGCTATGCGCGTTTTTTGGTCTATTTTTGTTTCAATTTTGGTGCTTGGGCTCTTCACGGACTCATGCAACTAATGCTGGGAAGGGGCGGGTTCAAACTTCCTGTTATGTCAGAGAGTAACATGTTGTCATGTCGCACTCTTGCGTTTTTTTCCAAGGTTCGATGCTGAGGCAAGTTGAGTTTTCACCATCTGAAGCCTTGCCAATGAGCATAAGCTTGTTGTCGTGGGAAAAGGAAGGGACTCCATCTGTCAGGAACTCCGTGTGCCACCCTGGGCGCGCTTCAGAGATCCCGGCTGAAAGGAGAAGGTAAGTTCTCGGACGGGCCGTAGCCAGCCATGGCATGCTCTTGCTCGTCGCTTCTTTTGGGGCTGTTGGCTCTGCTCTTGGCCTCGGGCCTATCGGGTCTTTCGTGGTGTTGGAGCTATGTGAAGGACCTGGAGAAGCGCGTTGCTACTGTGAGCGACGTGCAAGATCTCCAGAGTCGCCTCGCAGCCTTGGAGGTTCGTTGTGCCATGCAGCACCGCGCCACTGCGGCTGCAGCGACTGAGCCAGACAAGGGTGAGTTAATGCCGTGGCCTTCATCCAATTCTGCCAGGCATCTGTCCCAGACGCAAGAGAAACAGGACCACGAAGCCTCCGATGTTTTGTCACGGTTTTTCCATACTGACAACAAGACTTACAAACTTCGCATGCGAGGGGCGATGGCCGGGGCCGGGATGCCACCGTCGACTTGGAAAACTCTTCCGGGCTCTACTAGTGAAGAAAGAGACGCTCAGAAATTGACATGTGCGGCAACAGTCGGATATAAGGACGAGGCTTTTGCTGTTCTGCAGAAGCATCCACAGTTGGCAGATCTAGCTCTGGCTGCTGCTGCATTTGGCCATGTTGCGTTTACCAACATGGATGACTATGATCCTGATTCAGTGACTGAGGCTGCACTCAAATTTGAGTCAGCAAAGGTGACGCGTCTTGCGGAAGACAATCTTGGCAGCCGTCTCGAGATTGTTCGGCGCTTGTTCACACATTTCACACAAGGTAGCGGGAATGCCACTTTCATGGACCAGGGACTTGACCTTGCTCGGAAGAAGAAAATTGACGTTGACAAACGGATGATGCGACTGGTGTCTTGGGGACTCTTGAGAAGATGGCTCCTTGTTGAGCCGTTGGATCTCTCCGTGACGGGCGGTGGTCCGTTTTTGGCGGATGGTTTCCAAAACTTCCAAAACTTCCTGACCTACCGGGAGACATGGGAGATGGGGCCGGGGGAGGGTCTGGTCTACCCCAAGGCTGCGATGCAGTACTCAATGGAGAACCCGCAGGTTCTTGAGGAGAAGAGCAGTGAAGGTAAAACAATGTTGATGGAAGCGAGTTCGGTACGCTTTAGACATAACACAGGTGACACTGATCCTTTCAAATGCCTTTTGGCGGAAGCAAAGCTGCAAGAGACTCCCATCGACCAAATGTCGGCTAAAGGTGAGACTGCCGCGATGCTGGCAGCACAAGCTGGCTTGTTGGATAACTCCAAAGAGCTTGAAGAATTGAAAGTGGAGAAGGAGATAGAGGACACCAGTCGGGTTTACCATTTCCAGTACATGCTGCTCTTAGTGGTGGGTCTGCACATAGCCTTTGCTGCTGTGGGCCTCGCGTGTTCCTACAGCGACACCGGTGACAAGCAAGAACGTACCGGGCATCTGCTGGATTGTTTGGTGAAAATCGTCATTCTCACAGCCTGCAATGGGTTGATCCATTACGCTCTGCTCCCCGGCCTCTTGCTTCGACCTGACGTGCTGCTGCAGGTTTCATGCAACCTTTACCTTCCGAGCAGTTGGCCCATCTTTGCCCTGCTCGCCGCCGCCTTCTCGGCCTTTATGATCAATGACCTCCGCAGTGCTCTTGCCGAAGCCAAGAAGGGTGTTGTCGGCAGCCAGACCGTGACAGCAGTCAACATATACCAGGATCCCAAGGTGCCCATCTCGCATTGCCTGCAAACCTTCGTGCTCTCCTCCATCTTCGTTGCGTGTATTACTCCGCTATGACTGAGCCCATCGGGATGACGCTCTTCTCCCGTTTTTTTTGGTCGTGTTCCCTGTTCGTGCAATACTACATCAGCCTGAACTCCTTCCGCCCTGATTCCGAAACCTCCCTCACCAAGATCAGCCGCTGGGCCTTGCGCTTGGATGACTCGCAGGCAACCAACCACGACTTGTGGGTGGCCCTGCTGGGGCAGGACCCACTGTCGGAAGGCGAGGACGCATCCTCTCGACTCAGGCTCAGCCAAGCGGAAGTCGTGCTCCGCTTCTGCATGTGTGACTTGCCGAGGAAGCCGTGGCTTTGCTTGCTGTTTCTAGCACCCCTCTCCCCTCCTGGAGGGTTTTTCCCGTTTGCTCCTAAAAGACCTCGTCAGGTTACGTGTCCAATGGCCTCTATCGGATCTTTATCGTGTACTCGCTCCCAGTCTACCTGGCAACCTCTGGGACAGCGAGTGACTTTGCACTGAACGCCTTCGCGGTGACCTTCATCTCGGACCTGGACAACCTCTCCGCGGATGTTGAGTACAAGCGGTTTTCCTATCAATCTCTGGAAGAACCGGAAGCACGGGAAATGAAATGAAATGAAGGCATCTCTTGGACTTGGCTCGCAGTGTGGACTATGTTCTTAGCGCCCTTCCATTCAGATACTTCAAGCATGGCTGCAAAGTGGCTAGCAGAAATTTTGCCGATACATCAAGATCTTCAAGCATGGCTGCAAAGTGGCTAGCAGAAATTTTGCGAAGCTGCTTCTTGAATAGCCCAGAATTCAGGCATATTCAGGCCAAAGCCCTAGCTTTGGAGTAAAAAGCTCCCGGGGGCAATTCACGACCCATGCAAGCTTGAGATGGCACACCATGGCGAAAAGTCACAACAGCATTTTGACTGGTGCATCTTGAGGTTCAGACACAACGGGGACAGGTTCCAGCTTGCAAAGCGTATCAGCCGTCCGAATGCCCGAGAACATTGGCATTCAACCAGATCTGAAGGAAGAGCTATGGCACATATTTGACAGGGCCGCTTTATTGGCAAACTTGAGTCTGTCTTTGTAGTTTTTATCCGGAATCTATGCTTCATGCTGGATTGCTGACATGTCGCAAGCCGCCCTAGAACTTCTAGTCGAACAACTGAAATACTCTGAATTTTGGCCGCCATGCTCGTCGATGTCACGCTCCTGGGCTGAAAGAGAGAGGACACTTTGGCAAGCCTTGCAGGGAGTGTGGGCCAGTCACGGCATTCCTCGTAATCGGTTAGTGATTCTGCTCGCCTGTTCGAGGCAGTCCGTCCGCAGCTCGGGGGTGGGACGGTGATAGGGATTGCTAGACTGTTTTTGCCGATGCACGATGCCGTTGCATCGTGACTGCCATTCAGATTGAAAGGGTGCAGTGGTGCTCTCTGTACACGCATAAGGATCTCGAAGGCAACGACATCCCCGCAGAGGCCACGTTCACGTGTCAAGGTCAAGAGCGAGAGCAGCGAGAGCAAATGCTCCTTTTCAGGCAGGGCCGACTCAGCAAGCCACGGCCAACTTCGGGGCGGAGGCCGGCATAGCCCAGCCCAGCTCTGCAGCCTCAACACATGGCCTCCTCGGCGGCAGGTAGCGTGGCCGAGAGCCGCTTTGCAAGCCCAGGATGCCCCAGATGCTGCCAAAGCATTTCAGGCTCTACTGTAAGTCCTAGAATCTTCGACCGCTTCATCCGGCGCTTCGTCACTTGCAGGCCTTGTCAACCTCGATGGCCTCCCCCAAGCCCCGGCCCCGAGCAGATCCAAGCAAGCTGTGATCTGTGTGACCTCTCACTCGCCAGCTGCATGCAAGCCTGAGGTTTAGCTTCGGTTCGCGAGCAAAGGGAAGCCAAAGCAGGCCGGCAACCAGCTCAACTTTGCCCTTTTGGTTTTGGACCGTTGGAGGCCGAAAGCTCCAGGTCCTGGAAGCTACATGGATCCAAGTGCAGATCTGAATTCCAGGCCTCGAAACCGGATCTCGCCGCCTCGCCTTGAATGCCTCAGACGCCCGCAGACCCACCAGGCACAAGAGGCTACCTCGCTTTGGCTTCGGCACGGACAGCCGGTTGGTCAAGTTGGTGTCGGAAGCCTACACGGCCCGCTCAGGCCCTGAAAACGATGCCACACTGGGCGATCCCGGATTCAGATGAGAGCAGCATTCACTTCGATGATGGCTCAGGAATCGCACGCCGGGTCCCGGCTCTTACTCGCCTGATGCTTATGCTGAAGCCAGACTGAGGTTCTTGTCAAACAGAAGGAAGGCCTGCTGAGATTTTCCGGAAGACTCGCGCATGTGCCAAGGGTCACAATGGTCCTTGGGAGTGCCAACAAAGTCTCGTGCACACCCAGACGAGAGGTTCGGCTCAGAAGTGCGGACCGGATCCACGTATCACATCTGCCGGCAGGTGAAGCAGACGAAGCCTCGCCAAAAGGCCTGCTGTTTGGCGATCTTCCTGTCTATGAAGCAGAGATCTGCAGTACCTTGCTTGTCCTTCTTACAGGCTGTTGGCATACCAAGGCGTAGAATGGGATATATGGTCAGGCGTCTAGCGTTCCCGCCCTTCATGGTATGGTCTGGTAGGGTGGGGGGGGCTGGCGTGTGCGGAGAGGGGTCGGGGCGGTTGTGCGGCCAGGCGTCACAGAGAGGGCCGGGTCCGGCCGGATCTTACGCAAGCCCTACGCAAGCCATAAACCCTGTAGGGTAGGGCGCGTTCCTGTTTCTGTTAACCTTAACCTGTACGTCGTACGTAATACTTTAAACCTTACACCCAACCTAAACCCCGCCTTAATGCAGGCTCTAACGTAAACCGTTACCCCAACCAACCTACACCCTAAACCCTCCCGAAGCTCTTGTCGATTCGCAGCCTTATAACTTTTAACTTTAGACCCTAAACCGCCTAACCCCCAAACTCAACAGCTTGAGCTAAACCCTTAACCCCAAAACCCCACAACCACACCACAGGGGGAAGAGGAACCCCACAACCCACCCACGAAAGGGGGGCATCCTGGACCATGGACCATTGCGGGGGGAGGGGGGGAGCCGCGGAGCGCCTGACCATATTATGCTGGATGCAGAAGGGGGTGGGATGGTTGCAGCGTCGCAGAGCCAACAGCCTCTGGAAACGGAGTATCGCCGAATCGCAGCAGAATGTGTGCGAGCATGGTCCATGACAACGCATCAGATAGGACGGATTTGTAGATGGGGAGCCGGGCAGGTAGCTCTCACCCGTCAGGCAGGTGCTTCGAAGCGTGCATCATACGCATGGAAGTACATATGCCATCCCCGTCCTAGCAACCTTTCAACTTTCCGGGGTGTCGTCTAGTCCCATATAGCACGTATTGATCGACTGCAACTGCACATCGTCGCTCTCAAATGTGTTGAATGCCTGGAGACTCAGCGTTCGAGTGATCACGGCAAGTTTGTTTTGACCAAGTTCTCCTTGCCGCCAATTCATTTGAGCTGGTGGTGATGATGCCAGTCAGCTGCTAGCTGCAACGGAAACATGGCACATGCATCTGCTCAGCGAAGTTCAGTCCTCAAGCAGATAGTGTTGCAAGTACAGGAAGAGCCGCCTTGCAAAAACGCCGAAGACCGCAGCACCCCATCCAGAATTTCCTGAAGCGCGTTGATTCTGTTTTTTCATGTGTAACAGTGTGACAAAATCAAGGAATTCAAGGACAAGCAGAATATTGTAGAATGTTCGGGAAGTGCAATGAATGAAGGACTCCCAGACAGTGGTTGCAAGCTGACTTCCAAGTCTATTGAATCTTTGCACATTGGTAAATTTCAGCGCAAGTCGAAAGTCCTCGCAATGGCCAAGTGTGCTCCTCCTTGCTTGCATCATCGTGTCTTTCTTTCCGAAAGCAATGTAAATGTGGAGGGTGCGAGTACCATATTGGTACTCCGCTGCTCCCGCTTCGTAATCACATCACGTGATGACGGACTAGCACTAGCTGCGGTACTGAACACCCCAGCAACTGAAGCTGTACTCGATAACACTGTGCCTTGGATGTGCAAGATGCCACGGGTATCATCCCAGACATTCGTTCGCCTCGTACTCGGAATACCGACCAGGATAGTACACTCACGCTCTATCAGGAAAACGGGATCTTCGTTTGAACCGACACTTAAGACAAGCTTCCGCGTCGACAGCAGGATAGACCTACAGATGCCTACACGGGATGCTCTTGACACAGGGAGGCAGTTTCGGGGTGTGCTGCTCAGAGCATGCTGGCGAAAATCAGAAGACTGCGCGCTTCACAGACACTGTGCGGTAATGCGCGTTTCTGGCTCTGTTCGGTCGATCGTCCCGAATCGGTGCATGTTGAAGTACCCTAACGACTGAAGAAACACATCGTACAGCAGCATCGCAGATTAACGTTTGTGTCCGCTGGCGCACACGGCTACTTGCTAGGACCTTTCCATTTTCAAGCTGCTCCTTCGCAGGCACCGGGTCCAGGTGCCTACAACTTGCCAGAATTCAGGACACGACTGCTAGATCGGGTTCCATCTTCACTAGTGAAGCAGCGCACTTAAGATCTGGAGGAGCGGCGGCCCCAAGGTTAGCATCACGCCGCGGCGGGAATGCAGGGGCCAGGAAGTTGCTGCAGTTTGTGTTGCACGTCGTTGCCCAGCTGCAGAGATGGCAGGATACAAGTGAGGCTGAGCAGACGCCCGGCCCCGGGGAGCGCCAGTGCCAGCATTGCGCTTTTCAGCTTGCGACACCACGCTACTGTATCTGTTGTCTGGTATGGTCCCGGCCGTTGATGTGGTTCCTTCTCTCTGCTACGGCGGCTACGGTTCTCCTCTGTGCAAAAGCACTGGCTGTCACATTGACAGTTGCCCATGCGGTGTTGCTCCGCATGCCGAAAACTTGCAAGAGGCACGAGGAGCATAGCCTCCGTAAACGACGACTCGCATGGCGCCCTAAGCAGGCTCGATGATGACCGCATCACCTACCCTGGCAGGGGGGATCAATGGGGATCAGGGGGGTAATTTCCGTGGGAGAGGGGGTGAGGGGTTGTGGGGTGGGGGCATGCATGCCTGTGTGTCTGTATGCAGGGGTGTGCGTGTGCCAGTGTCTGTGTATGCATGCATGCATGCATGCATGCATGTATGTACGTATGTATGTATGTATGTATGTATGTATGCATTCATGGATGTTTGTGTTTTGGTCCGTATGAACGTAAAACTGCGTATGTACATATGTACCTGTACGTATGTACATAATATGTACATATGTACATACGTAGTATTTATGTAAGTAAGTGTGCATGTATGTATGTATGCGTGCAGGCATGTGTGTGTATGTATGTCCCCTCATTATCGGGTAGGTGGGCTGGGATTAGGGGATCAGTCTCGCGATCGCAGGAACAGCTCTGAAAGTTTTATTCCGTCGCCATTTTGGCATGAGCCGATCGGCCGTGCCCGAAAACAATACGGCGTGGGAGGCAAGGATTACGGGATAGATCATTCCTGCAATGTCGTTCCCACAACCGGTCGGTCGAAGCTCGTTCCCGCAAGCGGCTGGCCCGAGCTCGTCGGCAGCTCGCCGGGATGTCCCATCCTTCGGACTCCCAAGGCGACTTCCGGCTCCGGAGAATCCCGGGAACTGGGGTCACTATGTCCCTGGTGGGGCGGAGGCTCCTCCGAATCCAGCGGCTCCGGCAGCGGCATCGGGAGACTGGGGATCTGGCACTTGGGGGCGTGACGATCGTCGTCCCAAACGAGATCATGGTGCCCCGGCCGCCCACAACCCGTTCGTGGTACAGAAGCCGGAGCTTGTTCAGCAAATGGTGGTTGAGGAAGAGGACGAGACGAGGAACTCCCTCCTGGTCATCGACAATCGCGATGAGCGGGTGGTCTCTCCCTTCCAGAACTGGTTGGCACAGGAGATCATCTCCAATGCCGCCAGCTCGATCAACGTGCTGACGGAGCGGGATCAGGTGCTCACTCTCAGCTCGGGCTACCATTGTTCGCTGTTCGCAAACTACAGGCTCGATGGCATCAAGGCGATCTTGTTGTTCTCGATGACTTCGTCGACGGGAGGCCCATGTGCTCAGTGGGACTCCCATGCGAGTCGGGCTCTGTCGCATTCGGCTTTTCAGCCGTTTACTTGGCCGGTCATGTTCGACACTTCGGCCACCTATGTGGATGTCAAGGTCTTCAACGGAAATGAGGTCCTGTTCCACTGGGTGTTCCGTGGCTATCGCTCGGATGCCGACCTGTCAGTGCAACAGCAGTTCTGCGACGAAGTCTTGATCAGGTCGGCCAATGAAGGTTGGTTCCGGCCGTCCATCGTCATCTCCGTGTTCGTGGGCTGGAAAGTCTCGGTTACCTCGTTCGCGGTCGGGGCCCGGGTATATTCCATCGGCCCCCAAGGAGCGGTGATGGCGAGTGATCATGCCATGAGCACGTGCGAGCTACGTGTGACCGATCGTTCCTCGCAAGAAGGCTATGGCAACGATGCAGATCGCGTGGAGTTCCGGTTCAGGGATGCCAACAACCGGATCGACCTGAAGTGCGGGCGAACGTCCGTTCTGGGAGCCGGCAGATCAGCCGTGCTTCTTCCACGGAACAAATATGCCGAGTGATCCCTCGGTGCGCTAGATCCGTGCGCTGTTCCGCAGGGCCATAGTGAGTGTTGATCAGCGTGTCCTGGCTCAGGCACGGCGCTCGGGTGCCATTAGCAGGCCTGTGCGATCGCACTCGCAGCTGTTCAGCCCGAGATGGACAGGTCAGTTCGGAAGATCCTTTCTTTGCCATTTCTTTGCCTCTGTTCGGGGATGACTTGCGCCAATGGTTGGTCGATCTTCGGATGGCTCAGTTCGAGAAGCTCTGTGCTGTTTCAGACGGGACGATCGCTGAGTGTGTCCAAGCGTTCGTGAGTCTGGTGCCTGCGCTCGAGGCTCTCCACTCGCCAGCTCAGCGGAAGACGGAGGAGGAGCTCGCCAGGTGGGTTCCGACTATCGAGATCCTCTTCGCTCTCGTTCCCAGCACGGCTAAGACGGGGTCGGCAGATCTGGCTACTGATCTTGGCTTTGGTCTGGCTGAGACGACAGTGGCTATGGGCCGCTCCCCTCTTAGATCGAAGAAGGGCTCAGATGAGCCGCCGATGCCCCTGCCGCTCGCAAAGCGGCCCAGGACGATCGAGCCTCGAGCAGAAGACGCACAGGTGTCCTTGAAGGCTCGCGAGCTCGGCGAAGCGAGGAAGTGGGGCATGAGGCTCAGGTCCGAAACCCCGCTCCTTGCTCTCGCAGGACGAGTTGAAGGCATTGCGCTCGATCGTGTTTGAGAGTGGCGGGTTCAGGACGATCCAGCAGTGCGTTCGTCACTGGGAACGCCTTGAAACATGGGCGAAGTCACAGAACATCCAGGCCATTCCCCTGACCACGGAGGTGTTGGTGAAGTACCTACTGAACCTCTCCGATCGTGGTTGCGGGCCCACAGTGATCCCCTCAGTTCGCGGGGGCCGTGAAGTGGATCTGCAAGAGGGTCGGGATGCAGGGACCAGACCTCCTCGATGCTCGTATCATGGCTCTACAGAAGCGGGTCTACAGCGATCGAGGGAAGGAAACTCGTGAGGCGGTCCCTATCCCTTTGGTGCTGGTGGCGGCGCTCGAGAGATTCGTGTGCGCTAGGCCGCTAGGTTCCGATCGAACCAGTTCGTGATAGCGTTCTTCGCGTGGTGGATCTTGATCATGATCTACTCGTCGCTGCGCTTCGACGATGCTATGCACGTCGTTCCCGAGGCGCTCGCCATGAAGGACGAGGTGCTCTACGGAGTAGTGTGGCAGACTAAAGTCGAGCGACAGAAGAAAGGGACCCGGTTCGCGGCGGCCAAGGTCTCGGTCTCCGGCGAAGAGTGGATGGAAGACGGATGGAATGCTGCCGCGTTCGAGATGGACGATCGGGACTATTTCATGAAGGAGCTTGAGTCCGCAGTGTCCGCAGATCGGTTCGGCGATCGTCCCGCATCCTACCAGAGGAGCGTGCTCTGGCTCAGGTACGTGCTCACGACAGCGGCTTCGGATGATCTGAAGAGGGGGCACATTGCCCCGCCGGCTCTCAAGGAGCACCTGCAGCTCATCAATGAGATCACCTGGCACTCGTGCCGTGTGACGCTGCTCGCGGCAGCGGTCCAGGCCCAAGAGCCGGACAAAGAGATCGGGCTCCAGGCGAACTGGAAGGATCCCAGCCAGTTGGTCCTGAAGTACGCTCGGACTCGCAAAGAGATCTCGATCGAGATGGTCAAGCGACTCAGGACTCTAACCTGGTCGACTTCGGGGACTGTGCCTTGACCTATGTCACCAACGCGAGGTCAACGGTCGGACCCGCTTTTTGGACCTGAACTTGAACGGTACTGGGGCGGAGCGAACGCTCTACGGGCGCTATAGGATCACCGAGCGCGAAGACCTCGGTGAGATCCCCCCGAGCTCACAGATGTGCTCTCTTTGTTCCGGCAAGATCTTCACGGGTCCGTGAATATGTTGCTAGATCGGAATCGATCGGTGCGCGTGTGAGCTTCGTTCGTTAGTGCAGCTCAAGCCCAGGGTTCTCTAGCCTAGATCAAACCATGGTCGATCGCACCGCCTACGCAAGCGAGGCGGCGACGCCGAAACTGAATCTCCGCCAGATCTTCGGGCGGCAAGGGCTCGATACCGGGCTGTGCCGACTCTCGGCGGACAAGAGCCTGCTCACGGTGGAGATGTTCGCGATGCTGGGACAGGATCTGTCGTCTGCGAAGGAGACTCTCCGGAAGCTCTGGGAGGCCGACATGTCCCCGCTCGGGACTGATGCTGCCAGCCAGGAGCTGTCGGTCATGTCGCTGGCGGCGGTGTGGCAGGCGGCTCAGGCGCTGCAAACGCAGTACGCCTCTCGGCACGCCAGGATGGAGGAAGACCCGAGTAAGATCCCGGAACTCTCACAAGAGGATCATGCTGAGTTTCGCGATCGTTTCGTGCCGGTCCACAGACGTTATCCTGATCGACGCCAGGGAGCCTCGCAAGAAGTTCGTGGAGCGCCTCTCCCGGGACTTCCTCATCCACGGTCTCGTCCCGTTCTACGAGCCGGCTGAGATCAGGACTCGAGCGGACGTGATCGTGGTGAAGTCGGGGCTTTCGCGGAACGCCGAGGATCTTCTCTCTATATCGAGGGCGGATCAGCCTGAGCCGGTGACGGATGTTACCACGCTGTTCAACAGGCTCCACGCGGTCTTCATGGCACTCGAGTACCTGAACATCTGTGCGTTTTCACGCCCGGAAGGTCCTCTCAAGTACTTGCAGGAGCTCGAGCAGTTCCGCTCGGAGTGCCCTGGTCTGCCGTTCCTGATGGCGGCGGATCGATCAGGAAGAAGATCTATCGCCTCCTGTCGGAGCAGAGGGCAACGTAGACAGCCTTCTCACAGGCCCTGCTCGAGGTGCTCAACAACCACAAGTATCTGTGGAACGGTGCGAGGACCAGCGCTACGTTGTCGAAGGTCGAGCACAATCGTCAGCAGCTCACCTCCAACCCTGATCAGGTCCTTGAAGAAGGGGGTCCTCCTCCCGTTCCGCATAATCCTTTCAAGCGCACTCGCGTGGGAAAGAGAAGAAGAAGCGGAACCAGACAACTGGGAAGGAGGAGACGCCCAAGAAGATCGCCAAGGAGGATCCTGATAAGAAGCCTTAGCGGGACGATCGTATTCCCGAGAAAGAGTGGAAGTTGATCGCTGAGGCGGCGAAGAAGGTGCAAGGCGCTCGCCGGTGCCACTACTTCAACTCGTCGCTCGGCTGCGTTTCAGGAGATAAGTGTCGGTTTAAGCACTTGTGCATGGTCTGCGGAGAGCCGCATTCCATGATCGGCAACCACTGAATCGATCCGTCAGAAACTGACTGCCAACCCTATCTCGCCCTCTCGGGTGCGATGAGTGGCGTGGACGTGGAGACGATCGCCCAGGAGCTCTTGAGTAAGCAAGATCCGCTCACGCGAGAAGAAGTTCTGCAGCTCGCCTTCAACCTTTCCTGATCAAGGGCAGCGCAAGGCGGCGGATGAACGGGGCGGTGCTTTCTTCGCTGGCGCCTATCGGCGCGGCGGGATCACGCCCTTGCGGTCTTCGTGTCATTCTTGGCCTTGGTCTATTCAGGCAATCTCCCGGTACACCCAGCAGAAAGTGCCGGGGAACGTGTTCACGTCGTTCGCGATCCTCTGTGATCAGGAGGCTAAGCCCCACCGTGACTCGGGCAATGAACCCGTCCCGAACGTGGTTATCAAGCTCAGTGATTTCCGCGCGGGGGCGGCTTGTGGATCGAGGACCCTCTCGGGCTCGACCAGCAAGAAATAGACGGTCGTGCTATACAAGGCACGAACACCGACTTTGTCCATGAGACGATCGTCTTCAATGCGAAGGAGGCCCTGCGTATGACCCTGCCGTGGAAAGGCGCCCGAGTCGTTCTCGCTGTCTACTCGGTGCAGGGCGTCGATTCCTGCTGACGAATTCGAGCAGCTCCTACAACTGGGTGATCACGCCGACGTGCCTTGGCAGATCCCCACCTTCGCCTTAATAACCGGGGATGCAGATCGTAAGCGACCTCACGGAGCTCCCGTTCGGACTCGAGATCACCGCCAGCGAGCCTCCGGCAAGAAGGCGATTGCGGCTGGGTGCCAGATGAAGAAATCAGTAGTGCTTCCGCTCATCGCCGCGGAGATGCATCCAGGTGAAGCGATCGAGTTTGCTCTGGACACGATCCACCCATTTACCATGGATGCAGCAATCGACTCTGATCTTCAGGTCGTGTTGCAAGAGATCGTGGACAACCCCACTGGGATCTGCGATCGGAGAAATTCCCTCTTGCAGCATTGGGATGAGCGCGCTCGCGTCCTCGTTCCCGAGTCCGACAATTTGCTCAAGCAGATCCCGGATCGCCACCTGCGCCGCTTATTGCGGGGAGTTTCGGACGATCAGCCGGTGGCTCTGGGGGCTTTCTTCCATGTTGCTTTCTGGCGCGAGCTCCTGCAGGAAGCTAAATGCTCTGACGTGGACCTCGTGGACCAGATCATGGCTGGAATGCCGATCGTCGGCGACATCGCCTCCTCTCATCGGTGGGTTGCTGATCGCAAGCCCCACGCTGAACACCTCTCGGTGGATTCTCTTCGTTCTCGGGCCTGGGAGTTTCGATCCAAGGTCTTGAGTGCGATAAAAAGAGCTCCTGTGACCGAGCATTCTCCCAAGGTCTGGGAGGCCACCCTTGAGGACGTCAAAGAAGGAGCTGCGATCGGCCCCTTCTTTGAGGAGTCGGAGGTCTCGAAATTCGTTGGGGACGATCGTTGGATCCCGACCCAGAGGTTTGAGGTCGTCCAGAAGAACAAAGTTCGAGGGGTGGACAGTGCCACCTCGAACGGGATCAACATGGCGACCGTCGTGACGGAGAAGCTTGAGCTCCCGTCCACGGACCCGAACGTCGCGGTGATCAAGTGGCTGCGTTCGCGGCTGCCTGACAAGCCTCTTCGGGGCTGGGTTTTGGACGAGCATCGGGCCTATCGCCAGGTGCCCATTTTCCCCGGCTCACAGGAAGCGTGGTGGCCCTGAAGGATCCCAACACTGGCAAGGTCGCTTTCTTTGTGATGGTGGGGCATTCGTTCGGGCTAGTCTCCACCGTCTACAATTATAACCGGCGCTCGGCGGCCATCACCGACGTCCTTCGGCGCGTGTTCTTCGTGGCCGGGTTCAACTTCTATGACGACAAGTACGGATTTGAACCGGAGGACACGGCTGCTAGTGCATTTGCGCTCGCGGAGAAAGTGCACTGGTACGTGGCTGGGGGCTAGGTTCGACCAGCAGAAGCTCCAGCTGTGCTCGGACCCTACGATCCTCGGCGTCACCTATGACCTCGACCAGTACCTTCTCAAGATCAAGAAGTCGCGGAAGAAGGAGCTCTTCGACGAGATCTCCGTGATCCTCGAACACGAAGAGCTCTCTCCAGGTCAGGCCGGGAAGCTCCTCCGCGGCAAGCTCATGTTTGGTGCTTCTCAGCTGTGGGGCAAGATCGGCCGAGCTTTCCTGAGGGCGCTGTCCGATCGGCAGTACTCCCGGAAGACGGCGGCTACCGACCTGACACCGGCTCTGCTGTACTCGCTCTACAAGTGGAGGACGCTCGTCATGCATGGGCCCCCGAGGCCGATTCCCAGCTCGGGGCCCCGGAAGACTGACGTCGTGATCTTCACAGATGGTTCGGTTGCGAGTACGAACCCGAAGGATCCGGCTACTGAGATGATCGGAGGAGTTATGTTCGCCCGGGACGATCTGCCTGAGCAGTTCTCCTCGGATGTTCCGAAGCTGATCATGCAGAGATGGTTCCCTAGGAAAACGCAGATCTGCATGATTGAGTTGCTCGCCGCAGTGGTGGCTGTTCAGACTTTCCGGGAAGAGATCCGTGGAATTCATTGATTCAGAGCCGGTCGAAGCAGCCTTGATCAAGGGTTATTCGGCCAAAGAGGATGTATGCGAGCTCGTAGGGATTTTCTGGGAGCTTTTTCTCGAGTTACGGTGCTCGGTCTACATCGATCGTGTCCCTACTGGCTCGAACCCTGCTGATAATCCCTCTCGTGGTGACGTGGCTACAGGTCTGCTATGCGGTTGGGTCACTGTTCCTTCAGATACCCCCAAAGGGGTCTGACGCTCATCTGATTTGTTCCTTCGGATTGATGTTGCGGTCTTCGACAATGTCGATGCGCACACCCGGTGATCGGGGCTCCGTTCGGACATGTGAAGATCGAGTGAAGTTTTGATCCGATCGGAGATGCGACCAACTCCCACGTTGCGGTCGCAAAATGAAAGGTTTGCTATCTCAGGCTGTTCAGCGAGCTTTGTGAGCGGCGGAGATCGTAGAAACTGGTCCGCTAATTATCGGTTAGGTGGGCTGGGATTAGGGGATCAGTTTCGCGATCGCAGGAACAGCTCTGAAAGTTTTATTCCGTCGCCATTTTGGCATGAGCCGATCGGCCGTGCCCGAAAACAACCCACCCACTCCGCCCTTTGTTCTTTCCGGGAATATGGGGGATCCCCTTCGCCAAGCTCAAGATCGGGTCGGCTTGCACGCGCTCGCCTATGGAACCCACGACGATCTCTGTCGGCCTTGTGTTGACTGCGGGCTCTACACAGGCTGTTTTTGTGATGGCGAAGGTGATGGTCAGGAGTGCTATGCAATCGATCGCGTCCCCAGGGAGCGCTGGGCTGCTAACCAGCTCACGCCGCTGTGCACGGCCTGCGATCGTCGGCACGATATGTGCCATTTCTGTCGACGGATCCCTTGGGTCACGCCGCCTGCTCATCGCGATCGCGATCGTCATCAGCCGGCTGCTGATCGCGCACCGCCAGCTGGGGCCGATCCACCCCGAGCTTTCGACGGTGCGGTCTTCTACGTGGTTCCGAAAGTGGGTCCGGCTCATCAGGGCCGGCTCCTGGGCACCGGGGCGGATCAACGTCCGGCCCGTGCGGGTCCGTTCTACTATGTGGCGCCGGGACAAGCTCCTCGGCGCTTGGATGAGCTCTCGCCGAGTGCTGAGCTCCCGGAAGGCACTCAGATCATTGTGCCCCAGACCCAAGGTCGTCCTGCACCGGTTCCTAAAGCCCCGCCGGTCGAAGCGATTTTTCCCGCTTTCCACGCGGGCTATCGGATATCGCCATGCAAAAGCGAAGGCGGCTCCGATTCCTGTGCCGCTCGATGTTGATCCCATCGAGGAACCTTCGCCTTCGGACAACGATCCGATCGAAGACTTTTAGTTTTGCTCGCTGGGAATATCGCTCATCTGATTTGTTCGTTCGGATTGATGTTGCGGTCTTCGACAATGTCGATGCGCACACCCGGTGATCGGGGCTCCGTTCGGACTTGTGAAGATCGAGTGAAATTTTGATCCGATCGGAGATGCGACCAACTCCCACGTTGCGGTCGCAAAATGAAGGGTTTGCTATCTCAGGCTGTTCAGCGAGCTTTGTGAGCGGCGGAGATCGTAGAAACTGGTACGTACATATGTATGTATGTATGTATGTGTGTATGTAATGTATGTATGTACGTATGTATGTATGTCTGTCATATCTATGTACATGCACGCACATGTGTATGTCTGTATGTACGTATGCATGTATGCATATACGCATGTCTGTATGTATGCATGTATGCATGTGACTATGCTGTTATTTGTATTTGTGCTGCATTTAACTGTCTGCGACCGTAGTATGGAACTGCCTGCATGCGCACGCATGTATGTGTGTTTGCGTGTCAGTGCACTTCAGCGTGTGATAGCATATGTATATATCTGTATGGATGGGGTACTGCATCTTAAAGCGACAGGAGTACCATCAAAATTCCAGCTCCCGGACGCCTCGGTTCAGCACACAACCCAGCATTGCCTGTTCGGAGATGCCGAGTGCGGGTGTCGTTGATGCTTCTGGGACTGCGACTCAACTTTCAACTGTAGGCTTTGGCACTGCGCGACAAAGAGCTCGCTTGTGCGTCTCTCAGCGCCATTGCATTTGGGGTTTGTTAGTTTGTTGCAGAGTCAAGAGTTTCAGGCGTGTTAAATTAAAAGCGATTGACTTCTCCACAAAAAGTCATCCAAACCCGTGTCTGCACTGCAATATGCACGGACTTGGTTCTTGGTTCCGCGGGCCTGTCTGCATCGAAATATGCACTGAAGAATTGAGCTTCAGTGCAACAGGGGCTCCAGGAAGCAAGAACCAAGAATCAAGAGTCCTGTGCATCTTGAATCTTGGTTCTTGGTTCCGCGGGCTTGTCTGCATCATTCTGCATCGAAATATGCACTGAAAAACCAAGAATCAAGAGTCCTGCGCATCTTGTCTGTTGGTTCTTGGTTCCGTGGGCCTGTCTGCATTGAAATGTGCGCTGAAAAATTGAACTTCAAATACTTCAATGCAGCAGGGCCCTAGGAACCAAGAGCCGAGAATCAAGAGTCTTGGACATCTTGAATCTTGGTTCTTTGGTTCCCTGGGCGTGGGTGCATTGAAGTTCATGCAGTTTTCAATGCAGGCCGCTTTGCTTTGGTTGCGTTTCATGTGGGTTCAGGTGCGTGGGTAATGCATGGAAGTTGCTGAGTGAGTGACGCATGTGATTGCAGTGGGTTCATTGGACTGACTCTTACGTGGTGTTGGAGTTCCTTCGTTCATTCGTCGGTGACCTTTTATGGTGGTGGACAAAGCACAAAAAAAGCAGATCTTTAGGGGGAGGGAGTGGTACCCTATATATATATATAGTTATATCAGTATATATGTATATATTTGTATACAATCATATATATATATATATATACATATAAATAAATACATAATATGTGTATATATACATAGCAATTACGGGAAGCTTAGAGTGTGCTGTTTGAGGGTTTGGGCAGACCCACGAAATGTGTTCCACTGCACGAATATAACAAGGATTCCCGCGCTCCCCATGGCCCGAGTCCGTGACAGGCAGAACAAAACACGACAAACAAAAGCGTAGCAGCACCTGCAGCACGAGTAGTGCCGACATGCACTACATGCACCAAACACATACCAAACACTGTCAGCCCCCGCTTGTGAGAGCAACCGTGATTGCAGTGCCGCATTCCAGGCAGGCCGAGTTGGGTGCATCTACTCCTGGTCCCGGGGCGTATCGCTATCGCCCCAGGAAGTGAGCTTTTCAAACAATGTGCGCCTCCAGGCTCTAAGACTCTAAGCCCAGGAGTCTCACTGGCTGCTCCCCTCGACGGCTCCCCCTCGCTTGCCTGTCACCCTCTCCCCTCCTGCTTCCCTGCCAACAAGCGTGCAACGCCTCTGGGTGTATGCAAGGTAACCACGACGAGCTGCCCCACGACCCCTCCAATCTGAGGGCGAGCCATCGATAGTAGCATGAAACTTGTACAGTGCGGGCGTTCAAGCGGTGGGCACATGTGGCGAACTACGTTGCACCTGCCTCCCGCATCGCCAGTTGAAGTGGACCTCGCACAGCAGCTAAACAGCCTGTGCTCATGGATCCTCATCACTTGCGTGATGGCCAAAAATTGCAGGCACTTTACCCAGATGGCAGCGAGAGCAACTGTTAAGCTGTCGAGCGCTTATCGCTACTGCCGCCCGCTGTGCTTTTGCGCTTGGCGGTAGTGTTCGACATGGCGCTACAACGATGATTGAACCGGACCGGGGCGGGGTCGTTTCCACCACCACCGTCACCACCAGCAGTCTGTGCAGCCACCTGTATACGGGTAGGCATGAAATCACGTCGTCCTTCTCGACAGGCCATGGCTGTGAGGACACAGCTGGTAGCATAGGTGGACAAACAGAGCATCCGAAGGCAGCAGTTTGACGATTGCCATGGTGGACTGAGCACCGGCTCCACCCCTGGAAGTGACTCAAGGAGTCCCGATTCGGGCGCTGATTGCATGTTTCTAGTTTCCGTTCTGTGAGCTTGTTCTGAGCACTTTACTTCAGGAGCGAATCCAGGCCATGGAGACGCGGGAGCACTACCACGGCACGCTCTGTGCCGGGGACTGCAGGAGTTGCTTCTTAGTTGCAAGTGAAGCCGCCAGGGTTCAGAGAGCCAAAAAAGACAGAAACGTTTTATCGATCGGATGCATACGTTGGCCTCGACAGTTGTCATGAGTGGGGTGTGTTGGGTCCGAAGTGGTGCTGGCCCCCACGCAGGAAGCTGATGCTTGAGATGCTGAATCACCAACTTCCACAGCTGTTGCCGATCGAGGCACTTCTGTGCCATGCACTCTAGCTATCATTGTTACTGTTCTGACGTCTCCTCTCATTCTCTTGAGGGCAGCATTCCTATGAAAATGGCGCATCGGTCTCAATTTGGCACAGTCGCTCCTGGTGGCTGCCGTGTGTAGCGACAGTGCAGTTAGGCCGGACCTGATTCTCTTCGCACGCAAAGAGGCCAGGACCTGTCACAGCTCGCGCTCGCAGGAAAGCGCAGGCTGAGACAGCCAAGACATGCCAAGACCAGCAGCCCGGGCAGGGATTCAGTAGAGTGGGACCCGAGTAACTCTACGCAACAAACCCACCAGCAGGACAAAGGCACTGCCCTCGCCAATCTGCTTCGCCAGCAAATGCCAGCAAAGTTTTCGCCGGACGTCGGTAACGCCTTTCTTGGCCGTTGGACATGTGTGTAAATATGCACTATACAAGTACTACAGATGTTCCCTAACAGAGATGAGAGTGGATAAGATGCCGCAGGCATGAGTTTTGCACAAGTTTCCGCTTTTTTTGGGTGTCTCTGGAGAAAGGCATGAGTAGGTTGTTTCAAGGTTGAGCCCTCTCAACCGCAGAACATGTTGCAAAAAAGGCCAGACATGAGGGACATGGCTGCATTGTCGCAGATATGTCAAGGCGTTGAGAAGAGGTCCGTGTTCGGACCATGACATCTCAGACACCGAGAGCAGCTCTGCCAGAACTGGAGATCGCGCGAGGGTGTGCTGGCAACAGTGTTTCCATCTTGACAGGTCAAGCCTCACTCCCTGGCAGAGACAGGGACAGCAATCATCCTAGCTGACGTTCTTCAGTGTTCATGGCAACATGGACAGCGTTGTTGAAAGTCGCATTAGGCAATGCCAGCATTCTGTCGGCAACTCTGGTCTCCAACACACCTGAAGACGAGACCTTCAAGGACTCTGCGAGTTCGCGTTCTTGGCAACAGGAAGTTGTTTCGTAGAAACATAAACATGTGACTTAAGCAGGATAGGTGGGAGCACGAACTCTGCATAAAATCGTTGCCGTCTGCGGGCACTCTTGCGCCCGCTCTTGCGCAAGAGCGAGACGAGTTGTATGATGAGGTGAACGACGGTGCCTCTTCCTGGTTAATTTCTCAGATGCATCCCGCAAACATCCAGTCAGTGTCATCTTGCCATGAAAGGTGCTCTTGCTTTCCTTTTCTTTGGCAATGTCTTGGTGGACTTAGGCGCAAACTTAAAGCAGGAACTGCGAAACACGGACCGACGGAAGCTAAGATGCCTCTGGCTTGCGACACGAGAGCACACCATAGAACAGCGCTGCAGACACTGGCCCGGAGGCCTGGGGCCGGTCCATAGTGCTAAGCATTGCTAAGCCATACTAAGACAAAGAAGTAAGTAATCCGTTTACAAGCTAGTCTCGCAGCCGCTTGACTTGCAACCCCTTCGGTTTCGCACCTTTGCTTCCGGGCTAGGAGATACCCTCGTGGATAGCGTGCGCGATGCACCCAAGGCAGGGCACGTGCCATGCTTGCGGTCTGACGTGTCCCACTCGAGATTGCCCTAGCTAGCCGCAGCTAGCACAGCAATCTTGTGCTCACCAGGACATCTGCGTCTTCGCCGTTTCCCGCTCAGACTTCGCTGCAGAGCAGCAGTATTTTTGCGCCCCCAAACTGCTCGCCAGGTTGGCACTTTCAAGTCAAGGCAAGTCGTGGCAAGCCGAGCATACAGTGCCTTCCGCATCGGAGAGCCTTTGGACGGTGCGAGTGCGAGACAAAGCTCGGCGAAGTTCTCTGCTTCAGTACTGTTTCGCTGCGAGGCAGTGGCTTTTCGGACGTTTCTCCCACCTGATGGGCCCCGGCGCTTCTGTCGGCTTCCGTGCAGCTGCCAAACAAAGCTGTGCGCAGCTGCACGTGCACAGAACATGAATCTGAATGGGCGAGAATGGCACTTTGGACGCAGGTCGCATGTCGCATCCTGGGTCGTTTCCGTCGTTCACTTCCGTGCTCAAGTGAAGAGAAGGAGAAAGTTAGGAGTTTGGAGCCCTCGGCGGCGAGCCGATGAGCCCGGCTCCAGGCTGCCTGGCACGCGGATGCACGCGGCATGCGACACAAGATACGTCGTCACTCATCGTTCCGTGAAGGTCAATGCCGCAGAATGAGTGCGCAGCCAGTTCCGCGATGTTCGAGACTTTCTTCAGAGGAAGCTTTGTCCATCCCCGTTGATTGATTATGGATATGGACAAGCGCGAGGCTGAAGGTGTGGTTCTTTGGTTTGCACCATAACAGTAAAGTGCTTGATCTAGAAATCCACGCTCAGAACAGAACTCTCAGTAAGCTCCGCACGAAGAGAGGACAACATGTTTCCAGGTTTTTTTCGCTCAGGATCGAAACATCGGAACCTGCACCTGGAGGGAAGATGATGTAGTGGCCAGCAAATGAGGGTTGCGACGTAGAAACCAAAGAATATCTTCCGGACAAACATCCAGCTCCAGCGTGGCAGTAAGAAGTGACTTTCACATGAGCGCAAGCAAGGGCAGCTCTATCTAAGACCGAATCAGACTGCTCCCAACTAGTGACTAACTAGTGTGAAAGACCAACCGGGCGAGCTTCGCGACGCATGACCACCACGCTTCCAGTAGCTTTGTGACCGTGCTTCGTGAGTCAGAAACGACCTTCAGTCGCAAATGCTGCTAGGACTAGGACCTTGGCATTGACTGACTTACAGAAGGACATGTAGTTCAAGGCCTTGACTGCTTTCTGTGCAGTTAACCTAAACGACGGGTGTAGTGCACCGGAACCACATGAAGCATGGGGCATGCTGACATTTCCGGCGTCCCGGGTCCTCAATTCCGCTGTTGGCCAGGTACATCAAAGAGTCGATCAAGCGCTTCGGGCGTCGTTTCGACCATGAAGAACGCATGCGCAAGAAGAAGGCACGAGAGCCCAAGAAGGCCAGGCCTGCAAGGGAATGCGCGGTAAATGACTCAACACAACACGGAGATACCCGGAGAGTGACGATTGCAGACCGCTTTGCGATTGGCATCAATAAGCAATATGATATGAGGGGGCTGTGCAGGTGGATGTGACCTGAGCAAACCCTGTCAGTCTCGCTGCATTGTGTGTTCTGCCAGATCGCAAAGACGGCTCGAAAGCTTCGAGGAATCAAAGCGAAGCTTTTCACGAAGAAGAGGTACACTGTTGAGGTCGCGTTGTATACGCGCTGAACGAGTCTGTGCTGCCAGGTACTCTGAAAAGGCTACCATGAAGAAGACAATAAAGGCTCACCAGGAAAAGGATGCAAAAACAAAAGATGCTGATGAGGCGGCGTTTGCGCAGCCGAGAGAGAAAGCATGCTGCTACACTTTGAATGTGAACAGTGAACCGCTGGTGTCATGCAGATCCTTTGTCCCATCTCGTGGCGATCGCCTTCCTTAATCGACTTCGCGTAGTTTCAGTACAGGACTGCAGCTAGCCAGTAGCCACAGTCGATCTACAGTACAGGAGCCTGAGCACTGCAGCATGTTCAACATAGTCCGTGACAGTGAAATTCTCGCGGCAGTTTGCAGACTCGACTACTGTGCCTCGAGACCCCAAGGTGAAACCTGGAGCGGTGCCGGCCTACCTGTTGGACAGAGAGCAGGTGCGAAGAACGAAGGCCGGCGGCGGGGTTTCTGAGTCATCATTCTCTGGTCATGTTGCCGTGACATCTTGTGGCGATGGCGGAATCGTGATACATCGTTATGCTCTGTCCTTCGGCTTATGCGAGAGTGCTACCAGGTGCTCTCAAACATGATCAAGCAGAAAAGAAAGGAGAAGGCAGGCAAGTGGCAAGTGCCGATCCCCAAGGCTTGGGAGCTTTGGAAACTGCTTGCAGAGGTTTGCGCCGTGATGCGCCGTGCTCTTGAAGCCAGGTGAAAGCCATGACAGAGGATGAGATGTTCAAAATCCTTCGGTCGGGCAAGCGCAAGAAGAAGGCTTCCTCAGGTACTACACAGCAGCAGAGACCGTTCAGTGGCTTGTTGTGCTAGGCATGGAAGCGTGTCGTAAACAAAGTCTCCTTTGTTGGCGAGGTGCTCCTTTCGAACTTGTGGTTTTTCGAGGGATGCCAAGTAGAAGCAGTCATATGCCTCCCGCCGAGAACTTCACGCGAAAGCCTCCGAAGTTTGAAAGATACATCCGCCCGGCGGCTTTGAGGACCGAGAGCGTGTCTTGTTGAGGCACCTCCAAGACGTTTGTCTGTTCAGGTTCAAGAAAGCGCACGTGACTCATCCAGAGCTGAAGATGACATTCTGTCTGGACATAGTGAGCGTCAAGAAGAACCCGCAGGCCTTGTAAAGCTGTTATACGTAAACATACACAGAGTTAGCGCTGGCCCCGCCAGTCTGCTCTTTACACCTCTCTTGGGGTCATCACGAAAGGCACCATCATAGAGGCCAGGGCAAAAGAAGTTTTGAAACCTCGTCCTCCCATAGAATTTGCACCAGGTCAATGTTTCTGAACTTGGCCTCGTAACTCAGACTGGGAAGGCAGGGATGCTCCCATGCTCCGCTTCGAGTTGTTACCTGACTCAGTGAGTAGTGTTAAACCCTCCCGTCCGCAGGTCATATGGGCCAAGTATGCACAGGCCGCCCCAATTCTGGTAATGCCGAGTGTCACAATCACGCTCGGTCTGCCGCTTCTGCTTTAAGTCCAGTCGATCTCGATCTCATTCTCGAGAGTAATCACCTGCAAAGCCACATGCTGTTGAGGTAGCTGAATCGGCTACTATAATGAGACTGCAGAGTACGGCCATAACAGTATGATCTTCTGCTGTGCAAGTCGTGTACACGGGCAGGTCACCAACAATCCTGACATCGACGGTTGCATTAATGCTTTGTTGCTTGTGTAGGTAAGCACGGAAGAAACACTCCGTGACGGTTGCATCAACGTGCTACTGCTTGTTTGGGCAAGCACACAAGACGCGCTCGGTGCAGTCGAGACTACGTGGACAGAACAAGCGTCAGGAAGAGCTGTCAGAAAGTCACTGGCACCTTTTCCAGCTTGCCTGAGTGGCAAGGTTCGAAGGTTTCACCGCAGTGATGCAAAAGAGAGCATGCCTCTGTCGATACTCTCGAGCTTTTGTCGTTAAGCCATCTGGCAATGCATGCTTTGCTGGGCATCATGTGAGCCTTGAGCATCAGTTGCCTCCCAAATCTGATTGCCACGTAGACAAGACTTGCTCAAGGTGGCACCTTTGGTGTGTGTCTAGATGGCTGAAGTCGGCGTTGGCTTCGAACGACCTGAGCTAAATTCTGAACCGCTGGCGGGATCAGTAAAACCGTACGACAAGCATGTCTTCCTCCTCTGGGGCCTTGCATCTGACTGGCCGGAAGATCCCTTCGACGGGCAACATGAAGGAACCTTGCCACTACGTCTGAGCAAAGCCATCAAGGCAGAAAAGCAGATCAAGTCGAAGGCTGGGCTGCATTTGGCAGTTGTGAGCAACATGGTTTCGGATGCTCAGGTGCGGGTTTCTTTGGTGGAGGCCACAAGCACCTCTGAGGCAGATTCCGCGCAATGGCAACATTCTGTACCGGCATGGTTACTCTGACAACCAAATTCCACAGAATTATTTAAAATCGCTGTGCAGGAAGGTTGTGTGCTCGTCTTCCCAGACTATATCCGATGTGACATTGGCAGAGATGGCACTGGAAGCTCGACCGAGTAGCTGGATTTCTCTTGCTGGGCTCATGCCATTTCAGCAATTTGTCGGGCCCTTTCGCGCATAGCTATACAGGCACGGGAGAGGCAGAAGCTCAACGAAAGGGGTTACCCAGCAGATTGAAAGTCCCTTCAAGCTCACAGTGCACATCCGTCTCCCCAATGTCTCAGCCAGAGGAAAGCATGTATGACAGTTCCGTGCGCATAATTGACTGTGCGAGGTATGCGAAACCATATATGTGTTTGGCAATGGATCCCTTGCCTGCCTGCATGCGATCTTTGTCGGTGCTATAGCAACGCCTGTTTTGACGTGTGGTCCCACTTGCAAGCTAAATGTCAACTGAGGAATTCCAGAGTTGGTCCGCTATTTGACCGGCGATGGCAACAAACCAGGCAAGCGTCAGGGCTGCTCCGCGCATGCGCATGCATGGAGAGCTGGCCATGTGAAGGTGCAGGCAGTTCTGTGCAAGACATTGCCGTTCGGCTTGCATTGGGGCACTTGACGTTTGACATAAGTTCGTTGGGTCATTCGCTGGCGTTTGTTTATTTTTAATTTTAACGCTACGCCGCCC